ACTCTTACTTCATATTCATTTTCAAAAGGCTTGTTTTTGTTGCTAAGTGCCTTTCAAGTTGATTCTAACTCATAGTGACTCTGTGTAGGGTTTCCAAGGAGCAGCTGGTGAGCCTGAACCACCAACTTGCTGTTCAAACTGACCTTGCAGTTGAGTATATTATCCCACAGCACTACACCAGGACTTTCTTCATTAGCCTAGAACTGTTTTATTAGCTTCAATTATACCACAGAAATACTCATGACCTTACCTAGTAGAGTTCTTTTTGCAACTTGTTTCAAAATGTTATTTACCCATGAATTATAAACACAATAAATAAGAACCATTACCAGTGGTCGCTATAAAACAGTCAAATCAATGTATAAACTTTTTATTTAAAATTAGACTCCAATACAAATTAAATAGTACAATATAAGAAACCAAGCCTTCATAAAACAGACATTAACACCCCTTTATATCATCTTCTATATCCATAACAAAATTAAAGAAAAATCTAAAAATAGTCCACAAATTAGTTTTACAACTCACATCATCAACATTAAAATTATTACAAAACACTCAAAGGAATTTAATTATAAAATCAACAAAGGCAGAATGATTTTATTACCCACTAATTTCAGTAACTGAAATTTAGTATGATTTTTTAATTTATGCATAAATAAAAAGCACCTCATTTTTAAACGATACTTAATTTTGTCCCAAGCCTGTGAGGACAGCTTTGCTTGTTTGACTTTAATTTTAATATGGCACAACAGCATTGACCAGTGAAAATTATAACATTTAAAATGTTTAAGTTCTTTACAGATTCTTTCTGCTTCACTTCATGTATTAGGGGGTGATATAAGTTAAAACATTACAATAATATAAATATTCCTTTAAAAAGTACATGGAAAATAAAATACATACTAAATGATGAAGAAGCTTAATCCTATTCATTATGAATGGGAAATTGATTAGAGTCATTGTATATTTTTCCGTCTTGTTGTTGTTTTGTTAAGTGCTGTAGAGTCAGTTCCAACCCATAGCAACCCTGCATAGGGTCTCCAAGGAGCGGCTGGTGAGCTTGAACCACCGACCTTGCAGTTCAAACGACTTTGCAGTCTGACGCATTAGCCCACAGTGCCATTAATTCTACTGAAAATAGGGTTTTATATTTTATATTATTGCTACAGACCCAATTATACGAACTTGTATGGGCGGGGGGGAAGCAAAACAAAACAAAGCAGTACCAAGAGATAGTGTAACATCTTCTTCTTGTTGTTAAGTGCCATGGAGTCAGTTCCGACTAATAGCGACCCTGTGTAGGGTTTCTAAGAAATAGCTGGTGGGTTTGAACTGCTGACCTTGTGGTTCACAGTCCAGCGCCACACCAGGAGTCCAGTGTAATATCTTAAGCCTGTTTCATTCCTGAAAATATTTACAGAAAGTGGACTTGAATAGATGACAGGAAAATATACTTAACACTAGAGAATGAAACCCACATTGTTCAAGAATGAAGTTATTTGTGCATATATACAATTAATTGTATAGCTAACTAAATATTTTTTCTAAAGCATGCATATTATGTGGTCTTTTACAATTTATAAATCTAAACTAAATTGTGTATGTATCAACTGTCATGATTAAAGCTTTCAGCATACCAGAAGAGTTCAAACTTTAACATCTGTTATTCTGTAAAACTGAAGATGGATGGAACATAATGAAACTCGACATTTCACAGCAGAGTTTATGCTTATCAATAACCTGTCATAGTCCTGTCAGCAAATAAATGAACTGTAAGTTGGATGCAGTTATCTTTTTCTAAAAATTTAGTTTATACTATATTGTTCTTTAAAAGACATTCTAATCAAATTGCATTTCTCAGAGGAAATTCACTTAGGGATCTGAAGGAATTAGTTATTTTCTATAAGTAACTCTACCTGGGTCGGAACCGACTCGACGGCACTTAACAACAACAACAACAACTCTACCTTAAGTGGTAGAGTTTTAGCTCTCTCAGAACCTTTTTCTCTCTTTTAAAGGTATGGAATATATATAAACTCCCCTACTGACTCAATAACTACAGAGATTAAAGTTATTGTTAAGTGACCTTGAGTTGATTCTGACCCATAGCGACTCTGTATAGCATTTTCAAGGAGCAGCTAAATAAAAGGGTATAATAAAGCTTTCCAATAAAATAACATGGATGTTTTCATAATTTACTACTAACTGACTGTAACCTTCACCAAGTCAACTTAACTTCTCTGTACCTTTGTTATTATTGTTAAATGCCATAGAGTCAGTTCCAACTCACAGCAACCCTGTATAGGGTTTCTAAAGAGCAGGTGGTGAGTCTGAACTGCTGACCTTATGGTTCACAGTCCAGTGCTGATTCACAGCGCCACATCAGAAGTCCTCTCTGTTCCTTAATTCCATCTTTAAAATAAAGAGAAGATTTCTTCCAGCTCTCACATAGTATGATTCTGTGCTTCTACAGAAATTTCTACTAATAAATTGAATTTTTCATATATCAAGAGAAGTGATATGAACTAAACTAGCACAGCTGAGCTAAACACCTCCTGTTAGGACAAAAACCCCAACTAACACTGTGTTCAGAGTTCAATCTCCCAAACTTTACTATATTCAATCTTTCTTAAGCAAGACTATTGAATAGCCCATAGTTACCAAGTAGTTTAGTTACATAAATCAGTTTTAAATTATAATACAAACCCATCAAAACATATCCAGTTTGTGCCATAGACTTCTATATTGTAATTTACATTATTTTCATTCTATCTACATTCAAAACAATCAATCTGTACAGTTAAGAAGCAGGGTCTGCTTAATATTCTTGTTCTTCAGAAGAAATAAAACTTAATACAGATGAGCAGAAAATTACAAATTGTGTCTGTTTTTTTTATAGAACTATTCTGAACACTATTTATGGGCTAGGAAAACATTGTAAAAGTTTAAAAAGGAAATCCTGCTAATAAATACTGATGTTCACCTATCATTTTTTAAGAAATGGTGAAATACAACTGATAAATTTAGTTGTGTTTCACCATTTCTTAAAAAGTGAGAGGTAGGAGAGAATATTAGTAGACACCTACACAGGTAATACTGAACCATGACATTTCAGAAGCTTTTATGAAAAATTAATGTACCATGAAATAGCACTTTGGTACTAGTGCAATGCAAGTTGGTTTTTCTTTGTCTAACAACGGGCAGCAAATGAGGCACTTAACTGTAAAATAGAAAAATAGGGTATATCTAAGAATCAATTCAAAATAATTCATAGAAGTTAAATAGCATTATTCAAAAAGTGAAAAAATTCCATTTTTATTTCACATGCATTCAACATTACACATGCTTTACTAGGGAAAACCTTTTTGAAGGCAAGAGTACTGTTTTGGTTATAAGATACAGAAAACATTTCCTCTACAAGATATTCTGGATTCCTGAGAATGCAATCCAAGTCTTCTCAACCTGAGTGCTACATATTGATAAATCCAGAAAAATATATTTTACCATACTAGAGAAACATTTCAACTATTAACAAAGTAGAACATATGATCCTTGATTTTAACCTTGAAGGATCAAAAGTTTTTATTTTACAAAACGTCAAAGTAGGAAACCTAGTGATGGTAGCAGAATAATGAGTAGATCATTAGCACCTAAATTTACAGAATACTTAAGTATTGCCATAGTTGTAAATAAATGTATGATCATGGACTGGGGGAAATCAGATATGTGTTGCTCAATGGTATTAGAACATTCTAAAGACTAAAATACCATGTTTTCAAAAATCATCCTTCATTTTCAAATGCAACTGTCTACAACATTCAAACACATTTTTAACCTTTCTTCCCGAAGTTTCAGATAAATATTTTAACAAGTAAAGAAATAAATAACGTTTATTTTTTTTCTTAACCACCATTAAACTGTATTCCATATGTGGCACTTTTTCAGCATTTTAGATATAAAATAGTGTTATTGTTGGTTTTTTTTAAAAAAAGAGGCAGTCATAATCTATCACAAGTATTACTTTGAATGTTCTTCACTATGATGGCAAAGGTCAAAAGTGAAGTTAATGGTCAGAAGCCTTCTGCTGAAATACATAAGCAAACATAAGCAGGAACAGACAAGAACATGTTAATTTCTGGAACTATACTGACACATAAATGCTTATTTGGATGGTAATATAGGCATTAAATGAGGAAAAAAAAAAAAAAAAAGTGTCTGCCATCACAATATCCCAAATGCAGCCTAGCATTTGCTTTCTTCATAGTTAAGATTAATGTGCTTGTGCTGTTTAAGTAAGCCTGATTTAAATCCTGGATAGAACATTTTACTTCATATGCTAAAGCTGATATTTGACATTAACTAAAGTTTTCCATGAACAAATTAATCATCCTCACTAAGAAATTCTATAGTCTTATTTTATATTTCCTAAATTTGCACCTAAGAAGGCTATCCTTACACTAAGGGTAGAAAAAGGCTTAAAAAAAACATTTTCTTACTCCAAGAAAACTGAAAACATTTAATAATCCACTATCCTCAAATTTATCATTATATTTGTTTTAACAATTATATTCTTTACTTCATAATTAATTTCCTCTTATACAGAATAATCAAAATTACTTTATTTATATCTTGAAGATGAAATTTCCTATTTTCCTTTAAGATATTCAAGTTCAACTACTATTCTTGAAAGGAAGTAATCTGAGTACACAAAAGAACTATGAACATCATTGATGCAATTCAGTTGTTAAAAAAAAAAAAGTGCATATAGTTATCAATGTAAGTATTATTTGGTACATTACATATAAATCAAAGGCTAGCAAAATAAAAATGAAGACTCAGCTCATTATGTAGAATCTGGAAAGTCTAAGAAAAGAATACAAACCCTATATAAATAGTACGAAAATTGGGGGAAGTACTCCTCTCAAAAGAAAAAGAAACAGGCAACTGAAAACATTTTTAAGAAAAGTAAATTTCTCCTTCCCAAGCAACCACACATGCTACACAGTAATATCAACATGTAATACGTGAAATGAAGAATCACATTCTGACGGCTGCCCTTGAATTTCTGCATCCAACTTACACTTCTCTGGTGATTGGCTCATGTCGTCTTGCAAAGTAGGAGTCTCACCTACAGAAGCATTGTCAGACAAGGCATCCAATTTTTCTGGGGAATGAGCTATATGAACTTTGCTATCTTCTATTCCTTCATCAAAATGTGTCCTTTCATCAGCATCTTCTAGCTGTTGAACTGAAGTTAAATACTGTTCAAGCAGGCTATTATCCTGTTCATTGTTTGAGCTTTCCTTACTCCACTCACCATTTTTTTCACTAATATCCCCTAAATCTGACTCTCTTCCATATTTGACTGTGTCAGTGGAATTTCCCATTATGGAACTTTCACTGTCCTCAGTAGAACATCTTTCAAATTGCAAAGAATCCTGTAAACAATGAACTTGTTCTGAAAGGGAGGAATGAAAACCAGAGTCTGGAAATTCTAGTAAGGATTTCTCTGGAGGAGCTTCATCATGAGCAATGGACCAGTCTGGATTTTGAGCAGAAGGCTTCTTACTTTCCGTGAGTAGTGGCAGTTCAGGTGGCACTCGAGTACTTGATATTGGCACATCATTATGCCAGGAATTGAGACGAAGGTCCACAGTCTGTTGCCAAGCTTGTAGAGACCTGACCTATAAACCAGAGAATATAGTTTTATTATATAACTAAAATCATGCCTGCTTGACAACTGCCCTTTTTAATTTTTCCTCCAGTAATTGTAAAGTTGGTAAATGGCAGAACCAGAGTTAGATACTGCCTGACTCCAAAGCCTCTGCCCTTTTCATAACACCCTCAGTCTAAACCAGGCTGGCACATATGGTACATGTCCTTGGTTATAAAAGGCCTTCACTAGGAGAGTGAAGATGGACCAAAGCAAATTCTCTTGCTTCTACAAGAAAGACAATCTGAAACACAACAGTACATATCTAGCTGACTGAGGGGTCAACAATGCACTCAATATGCATTGAGGTTTATTGAATAAAATAAAATCAAAACCCTGAAACTCAATGCCGTCAAGTTAATTCCAGCTCATAGTAACCCTACAGGACAGAGTAGAACTGCCTTATAGGGTTTTCAAAGCTGTGAATCTTTATGGAAGCACAGACAGTCATATATTTCTCCCATGGAGCAGCTGGTGGTTTCAAACTATAGATCTTTCAGCAGCAGTCAAATGCTTTAATCACTGCGTCCCCAGAACTTGTACAAGAGGGTTATTATTGATGTTGTTAAATGCCATTGAGTCAATTCTGACTCACAGGAACCATGCAAGGGTTTTCAAAGAGCAGCTGATGTATTTGAACCACTGATCTTGTGGTTAGCAGTCCAGTGCTTATCCTACAGTGCCACACCAGGGATTAGTGCCTAATATAATAAAAGCAAATCTTCTAAAAGTGTCACTTTTAGATACATATGTAGGAAAAGTTTTTAAACACTATCTAACAGTACAGTATATGCAATTCTCTAACATAAAAATATTCCAGGCTCTTAACAATATGAACTTTACTTTTAAAAATAATGTTAGAATTTCAAAAGAAAAGATATACTTACTACAAAAACTAAAAGCAAAGCAGCAGTATGTAAGATTTTTTGACCATCCTCTAAGGTAATCACTGATAATAAAAAACCACAGCCCACTGCCATCAAGCCAATTCCAAATGATAGTAACCCAGTACAGGAATTCCAAGGTTGCAAGTCTTTACAAGAGCAGAAAGCCTCATCCTTCTCCCTCAGAGAGGCTGGTGGCTTTGACCACTGACCTTATGGTTAACTTATCCTATAGTGTCACCATATCCTTCCAGACCTTTCTATGTATTTTCAAATACTGTACACAGGGTTTTTAAAAACATATGTGAAATCCTAATAGACATATAGTTCTGTAACTTGCTGTTTTTCATAAAGCAATTTTTGGAGATTTTTCCATGTCAGTCCAAACTGACCCATACTATTCTGTAGTGTTGCTAATCTATAATTTATTTAATCATTCCCCTATTATTGGTAATTATATAGTCTTAAAAATGAACAACTATTTGGTAATTTTGTGGTCAAATCCTATTATAACAAATTATTTTATAAAAATATATCCAAGATATCATGAAGCATTCATTTGAGGCAATAAAATACCAGTAAAACCAATGCTCTGAATTGTCCCTAAAGTATGCTATTACAAGATTCAAACTCTCTCTCTCAAGAAGTTATACATTTTAGGACACACATATTGTAACCATCATATACGTTCTTTGTCATTTTTCATTCAAATATTTCCAAAACAATGTTTAACAAAGTAAAACCAGACAGCTACATACAATTTATGCTATTGTAAAGTTGTAGCCACTTTCCTTCAGCTTTATACTACTGTATCTTCCTTCTCAAAATTATGAAAATATATTTTTTCAGATTAATATAACAAACTTCACTTTCTTGGTTCAGAGTTAGTAAAAAGGTAAAGAAGCTATACTGTTCATCTTGAGAAGGGTATTGAGTATACCTAACTACTCTATGAAACTCTCAATAAAGCTAGAATTTTTCTTTGTTTCCACATCAGGTAAATCAGTAGAAGGAGGTTTACCTGGTTCCAAAGGAATCTCACAGCTTCTTCTTGCACAACTTTTTTAATACGTTCTTCATCTCTTTCTTTTCTCAATCTACAATAATCCAAAATACATTACTGACAAAAGGGTGCTTTAATGTGCACTTCCTGTTATAACTACTAGACATATATAATGTAATGTAAAGATATTATTATTCTAATAGCTCTTTCCACTTTTAGAAGATCTAAGCTGAAAATTCAATTTTAAACTATGACTCAAAGTAGAAGTCAAATGTGATCTGCCTAAAATTCAGATTGTATTAATTCTAAAAGTATCTTGCTGTTAAGTGCCGTGGAGTCCATTTAGACTCACAGAGGCCCTATATAGGGTTTCCGAGGAGTGGCTGGTGAGTTCAACTCATCAACCTTGCAGTTCAAACTGACCATGAGATCTAGTGCTTATCCTATAGTGCCCAACCAGGACTCTACCACTGATAATAAATAAATGAAATACAAAATTATTCTCTAACTGGCATCAACTTTCTAGTCCCAACACAAAGGGGATGAGAGCTACAGAAAGTAGCTACTCAAAGGTTCCCAAATATTGAGTTTAGTAAGTCCCTAATTTACATTGCATTTAAGTTACAACAAACTGGACTTACAACCATCTAGTTTGATGCTTTTACATCTTATCATTAGTATTATTACAGTGCATCATTTGTTAATGTCACTGTATCTATAAATTTATGTTTCTAATCTCCAATGACAAAAAAAAATTGGATTAATAAAGATACCAATAATAAAAGGCAATACTGAAACCTTTTTTTGAAAGGCATTCAAGGCAAGAACAAACAAGATGGCAGATTGGGTGGAAGTGCAGTAACGAGCTCCGTCAGCAACAACACAGAATACCAGACCAAGCAGGCTCAAGAGGATGGTGCCAGAACTCTGAACCACATATAAAGGAATATCTAGAAGGTTGAAGGCTTATAGCTAGGGGAATTTGTAGCAGAAGCAAGAAATCCATTGCGGTCTAATTCAAGATGCTCAGCTGCTCATTTATTTATTTATTTATTGTATCTGTTCATTGGTCTCTCGCTATCTGTGCACCTCCATTCTGGTGACTAGAGGGAATGCCTGATGAGTGGACATCCCGCTCCCACGCCCAGAGGGTTCTATTACCTGTGCACACAGATCTCTTCGAAATTTAAAGTGGCAGTTTCCACTTAAAACCAAAGGCAGTGCAAAATGGCCACAGCCAGCCCTGAACTGTTTATCACTAGGAAAAAGGCCTGAAAGGGGATTGTGGAGTGGGATAAGCAGACAAAAAAGGGAAACAGGCCAAAAATTAAATCCTGAGTTATGTCACAACGACCAGCAGTGGCATCTTGAAATTTCTCAGGAAGAAGAGTGAAAAGGGAAGCCCATTTCCTGATCACATCTACCTGGAGACAATCAGAAAGCATAAAAAATACCAAAATACACACCCATCTAAGTATTAAGGTCAGAGATAACTCCTGAATATGCCCAAAAAAAAGAAGCAGATGACCATATCTGCAAATGAACAGCAACGAAGTGACTGAGGCAAATGAGCTGGAAGTAGACCTACACTCCGTATTGGAAGATGGGCAGGCTTTGGAAATGCCTGAGAAGGAATTCAGAAAAATGATTATAAAATGTATCAAAACACTATACAATGCAGTTGAGAAAAATAAGGAAGAAGTCAGGAAAGTGCTACAGGAACAATCAAATAAAATAGATACAGCATTGGCAATAATTCAAAACCTACAGAAAGAGGTCCAAACGATTAATAATAGAATATCAGAAATGGACAATACACTGGAAGGACAAAGGAGTAGTACTGAAGAGCTAGAAGCCAGAACCAGTGAGCTAGAAGATAAATCAACACTACTAAGATAGAAGAGTAAACACAAAAAAGGATTTAAAAATCTGAAGAAGGCCTAAGATTCATGTTGGACAACATAAAGAGGAAAAACTTAAGAATTATCGACATTCCAGAACAGGAAGAATCACATAAGTCCACAGATGAGATAATTGAAGAGCTTCTGGAAGAAAATTTCCCTAACATCCTGAAAAGTGAAAAGATAAGCATTCAAGAAGCTCAACGAACCCCAGGAAGGATAGACCCTAACAGACAATCACCAAGACATATAATAATCAAGCTCTCCAAAATCAAAGGACAGAATACTGAAAGCAGGTAGAGAAAAGAGAAGTGTAACATACAAAGGCAAGCAAATCAGATTAAGCTCGGATCTCTCAACAGAAACAATGCAGGCAAGAAGGCAATGGGGACACATATATAAAACCCTGAAAGATAAAAACTGCCACCCAAGAATCTTCTACCCAGCAAAGCTGTCAATCAAATACGATGGTGTAATCAAAACATTCCAGGATAAATAGAAGCTAAGGGATTTTGTCAAAGCCAACCCTGCTATGAAAAACATCCTAAAGGAAGTTCTGTGGACTGAGAACTAACAAGAACAGACAACAACTAGAGAATGACATACACGGCAGCATCAACCTGAACTCAATTGACAAATGAGAGTCAAAAACAGAATAAAATTATAGGAACAGAAGATCTGGAAGGTCAGTCTATGATCAAAACAACAACAATGTGAAAGAAGGTGAACACAGAAGAACAGAGATCTAGGTGGTAGGAAGGTCAGGTACATTAATAATTACAGCATAAAATAGACTATCTTAAATGGAGGGAAGAGTTAATGGAATATAAGGTAACCACAACAGTGGGGTTGGGTGGGGGAGGGGGATAGCTCAGGTGTTAGGGAGGGCAGTACATAAAGAGGGAGGAGGCGAAAGAACAAGATAGATAGGGGAACACTGAGACAGGTTTGCATGGCCAAAGTGGGCCAGAAGTAAATAGTGATGCATGTTCAACCTTGTAACAACAGGGCTCTGGGATACAGGGATATAGGCATAGCTTGAAGAGGGGAAATAATACTAAAATGCTTGACTGTCTTATGAATATTGGTTTCCCTTGCCTATTATTGTAAAATAGACACTTGAGTAGGATAGAAAGGAATGTTAGGAAACATGATTATAGAAGCTTGTAAGCCTGTCTTCAGCCTATAACTGATGGGAATACCTAAAAGGGGTACTAAAACTTGCCCAGTGAAATAGGCCTCTTGCAAAGCCTTTCAAAGTATAGGACCTTAGGTGGAAACCTGAGTCCCATCCAGAACCTTATGAGGTGGGACATTCTCACTAGCAAGAGCAAGCAGACCATCCTGAAACAGCTAGAGTGATCAAAGATATATACTCAAAGAAAGATCATCAGGAAAAACCCAAAACAAAAATGTCAACATGACTGGCTACTACAAGAATAAGCAAACTGCTTGCCAGGAATCTATCAAGGCAACCAATCAAGTTCCTCAGGAGAAACTCCCCTTTAAGACTGAAACTCAAAGGGAATACACAAACAGGCATGTAAGCTTGCTGGCAATCACATTGGTCTACCAGTGAGTGGAAGAGGAGGAAAGGCAGCAAAGAAATGGGCTGAGTTTAGCCACAGTCCATTGACTCCTGTTGACCTAAGATGAGAGAGAGAAGAGAAAGGGCTGGTTGGTCCAAACTGTGGTGAGACCTGTTGACACTTGAACCCATGGACAAGGACATAGCCACAGAGGGCTAGAGCTGAGAGTGAAGCATCCAGCTGATATGAAGTGAGGGGAGATGCACAAGAA